TGCATGTGAGGGAAGAAGAGACGGTTGAGAAACAAGACATTGCGGTTTCCCTGATCTAAATATAAATATGTGGTTGAACCCACTAACTGCTGTGTGAGTTTCTTTTAAGCGCCTGACACTCATAAACTATCTCAAATAGCACATTTTAGAATCCAGCTATGCAGCGTTTCTGTTTATTAATGCATGAAACTTGATCTGGTGTCATGACATTTATGATATCTCACTGAAATGTCCTCACATTTTTCATGCGTACAGTTTAAAAATTGTAAAAGAAAAAAAAAGACAGTAAAGTGAAGCATTTCACAATACATCCGTCGCTCTTTTGCATATTTCTACGTGCCTTGTCATAAGCAGGTCAGAGGTCACAGATATTCAGAACTTGTACAAGCAACTTGAAAATTGGACATATTTTTGCCATTTCAGTTCAAATGCCAATTTTTGTGCCCTAATTGAAAAATACACAAAAAAAAAATAAATACACTATACAAAAGAAAAAAAAGTAAAACATCAATAACTGAGACGAGTGATGGTGTGATGGGGAAAACAATGACTGAGCCGCCAATCCTCAAATTCACCAAATCGTACAGGGAAGTTTTTAGATTACTGTGCAGGCCAGGAAAATTAAACAATTCCAACTGTAGGACAAAAAAGTGCAATTAATGAGTTCTGTCTTTACCTCAAAGTGATGTTGTCTCCACAATAAATACAATTTATATGGGTGTGATGATAGGGTCTGATTTATCGATCAGTGTACATTTTGGGGAAACCAAAACTTCATGCGTTTTGTTTGAGCAAGTAGGGTAAAAGTTTTGCATTCAGTTTAGACGGATTCATTGACGGTTTCGCTTGTGTGTTTTTGTGTTTTCACAAACAGATTAAATCTGAAATTACATTTTGAAGTAGGGATTCTTTATCACAAACAATACATGGCTGCATAGCCCTTAGAGAATCTGTGAAGTAATTTCTGCAGTGCTGGCCAGCGCAGTCTGCAAGTGGCTTTATTTTTTAAAAACCCAGTAGAGTTCACTGGTGAACTTGGGGAGTATTAATATACAGAACAAAAGGCAGCAGGAAGACAAGCATGTGAGCCTAGCAGGAGGATGGACAAAAACCACAAAACCCTGAGGGAACATCTGGTTTGCGACGACCAAAAGGACCTGCGTTAAAGAACATCTGTTCAGTGTAGAACGATTCAACTCAGATTTTCAACTAGCAACGAATCATTTCATTCCAGATTCCAGGAAAAAGGTGAATCTCAAGTCAGAGAATAAGCCTTTGTGAATTATTATTTAACCCTTCCAGACCGAACGTAGCAGTGATGATCCAGCCAAATTCCGCCACACTTTGCACTATCTGAAAAATTGGAACAGTTTCTAAAAGGAGAGACGTTGCGCTTTATATGGGGTTATTACGGTGACTTCACCCTCACCGTAGACGGGAGTGAAATTGATCTGAGGGGCAATCTTTTAATACACAGTAAATTGTGAAAATGATTTGCTAGATATTGAAAGTTCCGGTTGTTATAAAACGGGAAAATGTATTTACTCACCGGACATTTAAAGAGCTGCGCACAATTAAAATAAGCAATAATATCCAGGCGGCCATTTGAAACTTAGGCCATAGAGGGCTAAGAACATTGTTAAAGACTGTTTCTATTTGCCTTGATTGTGACCCCTGTTTGGGCCTGTTGATACTTAAGAAACAATTAATGAACTCTGACTAAACCAAAAATTTCTTAAAATCACTGGTTGTCAGAGTGGGTGAACAATATTGCCCTGGCAAGTATGAGTGATCCCAAAGGGTCAAAGATGACCTGCACCCTGAGGGCTCTTGATAATAGTCTAAACTAATGCAGCAACATTGATCGCGCTTTGTCAGACAAACTTTCCATCAATGAAAAAAAAATGTCAGCATTTCTACTTGATTATTTGCACATAATTTCTTTAAAAATCAATCCAAACTCTCCATTACAGATTCTTCATTTGGCTCTAAAAGAACCAGATGCATCTCATGAGACCAACTGTCATAGCCTGCAGAATAAATGTCCATTTCAACCTCAGTGTTGCGTTCTAAATGAATATCCACTTATTTTATTCTGATCGCAGCACCATGCTGCTTTTAATGGGCTTTTGTTGTGTAATCAGCACAAACATTCGATCCATAAATAGAACAGTGGGAGAACATAACTGGTTGTTTACCAATTCATCAAAACGAAACAAAAAAATCTCCAACAGAGCCTCTTTGCAGCTAAAGCGAGTTTGTCTTCTCTTGATTTTCCAGTCGCACTGAAGGACGACGTGACTGAACTTTTCGGAGAGGATAAACATCACCGATCTCATTCGAACTCTGCTACTTCAAAGTTGCAAGATTGCTATCTGCCTCCAGGCAGTGAAGCACATCCGGCTGTTACTGCCCCGGCTCACATGCCACACAGACACTTTTTTTTTTCTTTTTCGTTTTTTTTACTCAATATGTGCAGGTTTTATCTAATTTTCTATCATCCCATCTATTGTAGGATCTCCTGCTGTTTCTTCATTTGTCTCGTCCGACCTTTTTCTACCTCTGAGTCACATAGGGGAAACGAGCGGCGCCTGCCAGGGGAGCACATAAAGGCTTAGCTGTAAGTTCACTGCAGCTGTTGATGACTTGTGCGTAAAGAAGAAAGCAGCAATCCGTTTAAAAAAAAAAAAACAAAGTTCCACATGTACCATCCAACGAGAAACCACAAGACTTGACGAGGAAGTCATTAGCCAGCATTCCTGGCATGGCCTTTGAGAAAATGTGCAGCCCGGGAAGGGAAAGTGTTAAAGTGGCGATCCGGGCTCATTTAGTGGCAACCGACCTGTTTCTGATAGAAAACATCTGGACGGTGCTCCTAAGAGTCATCTGTGAAACTTTTGCTGAGGAAGTTCGAATTTGAAGAAAATTTCAGGGACATTACAGGTAATAGCGTCAGTGTTTAAAAAGAAAATCTAACCGATTTGTCTCTTCTGCCTGAAATTGTACAAATTTATCACCAGGCAACGAAGTATGACTCTGCGAAATCATTCTACCTTGAACAGTTTCTGCAGTTTATTTCTACTTGTTCAGTGGTGCGTTGTTTCTCTTATAGATGCACAGTAAAAATGAAGATACTTCTAGCAAATAAAGTTTTAAGTTGATCTTTTATGTGCAACTAGGTTGGTAATATCACAGGTAGAGGAATCAAGAATATCAGCCAACATAAAGTTATGAAGGTTGTTTGCAACTTCATAGCTTGTTTCACCTGAGATATTTACATCATTTGCCAGGAGAGAGATATTGCAACTCATAGTAATTCAGCTTATTTGTACTCCAGCCTTAAGCTTGTGCAGGAAACATCATAGGGACTTTCAAATTATTCCAATGTAATCCATCTGGCCTGACTAAATACTTTTATTTGTTTGTATTTTTAACCACCTGGCTTTAAAAAATTACTGCTAATGAGCTTCAGTAATATAGTGTGAAAGTTGCAGTCCCCGTTCTCTTCACAAACTGCTTCCCTGTTTTATTTTTGTATTCATTTACAGTAATCCATTCAGAGTTCTTGTGAAAGGATCACATTTGAAGACATTTAAGAAATTATTTACGTCCGAGTACATAAAATTTAACAATGCTTTAGCAATTGGACTCATTTTCCAGAAAACGTCTTGCGAGTAGCTTTAAAAAAAAAAGTCTCATCATGTAAAGTGACATTTATGAACGTGTGACGACAGTTTGTACATGAAACCAGCTGCTGTTGTCAAATCATGCAGAATATTTCATTGTTATGTACACTGCAGCAGAGATAATGCAAAGTCAAGGTAATTGAAATGTTATCCCCATCTGATCTGCAATGATTACTTAAACACTACATTTCTAATGCATGTTGAATTAGGCAATTACATGCATCTAACGAGAGCAGAGTGAGAAGGAAAGAATGGGGAGGGAGAGGGTGGAGGAGAATTAGCAGAAAATGAAACAGGAATATTAAGCATTTCAGCCGGCGAGTGTCGGGTCAGAGTTCGCTCGGTGCTTATAGGGATATTAGCCACTGGGCTATGAGGGCTGTACCAAAGGGAAAACCAAAGGGAGCTTTAACTTTGAAAGCAAGTCAGGGACTCTGGACTAACATGTTTTGTGAATCCAACCGAAAAACCTTTTTAAAAATATGATCACTGTGGCAGAAATAAAACAGAGGCAACAGGAACCACATCCTGCATGAGGCTTCTGCCTTTCAGTAACAACAGTCCCGACGTCAGAAGAGCAAGTGCTGATAAAAACGATTCAAACAGAGCTTGGTTTTCATCTAGCTAAAAAAAAGGAAAAAAATCAGAAAAATTACAAGATTTAAAATATGTACTGAAAAAATGATGAAGAAGGAAAGAGAAAAATAATTAAAAACACAGCTGGTAAAAGAACTGAAAGAACTGCTCTGGGATCTTTCAGTGAAATCAGATCCAAGAGTTAAAACAGCAGGTGGCCATAAAACGTCATCAAACAAACACCAAAACGTAGCTTAAAAATACTCAAAATGCAAATAACTTAGATGGCAATTTGTGGAAAATTAGTGACAGCCTTTCGTAGCTTAGTTAAAAGCTACGAAAGCTGCTTAGCTTTTAACATGGCGAAAGAATTTAAAGAGATAAAACAAGAATGATAAAAATATGCATGAGGCTTGTTGCTTTCAGTCACCAAAAAATGAAACGTCTCAATGCAACAGGAACAAGTGTCCTAATATCTTACGACCACACTTGGTAAAAAGAAAAAAAAAGAGAGAAGGAAACTACAAAATATCAAAAAAAAATATAAAAACAAGAGACAGACATTGAATGCTGCACATAACAAAGCAATAATGTTTTCAAGATTGAAGTAATGAGTCATATTTATTTTTACCAACAAAAAGAATCTGATTTAAAGCATGAGTTTGTGCCTGGATTTCCTCTCTCTGTCTGTCACATTACAATGATTTCCCACTTACTTGACAATTAGACTCTGGCAGCTGGATGCTGATTTTTTTTTTTTTTTTTTCTTTTTTGGGGAAGGCGGTGAACGCTTGTCGCTGCAGTCATGTCACGTCCCTCGTGAGCTCATTAAGCGTGTGTGGAGCGCCTGGCTGATTGGCTCAACATACCGGAGATGGACAGACAGTCCTGTGCAGGGCTGGAGGGGAGGAGGGAACGTGCGAGACAGAGACGGGCTGGAAAAGAGTGGAAAAAGGAAATTAGCGAAAGTGACGGTAAAGATATCCTTAAGTCACTGTGTGTGTGTGTGTGTGTGTGTGTGTGTGTGTGTGTGTGTGTGTGTGTGTGTGTGTGTGTGTGTGTGTGTGTGTGTGTGTGTGTGTGTGTGTGTGTGTGTGTGTGCGTGGGTGGGTGGGTGTGTGTGTGTGTGTGTGTGTGTGTGTGTGTGTGTGTGTAAGTCTTCATCCTCATCCAGCCGGGCTTGTGTATTTGTGTAAATATATCTACTCACATAAACACACATGTCACATGATTAACTGATTGAGCTCTAACTTCATTACCACGGGCAAGTCTTCTGCACACTAATCAATTTCCAGCATCCAGAAAAGGCTTAGTACACAGTGCTGGCTGTCAGGGGCAGAATTAACTCTGGTCCTTTGGGGGGAACCAAACACGTGGCCTGCAGTGGAAAAGGGAAAAAAAAAAAAAAAATGGAGGGAGTTAAAGAGTCTGATTAGAACGGCTGATACTTCGGCCCACATTTGCATGCAGGCTGTGTCCCCGGCGTCCATCAGCAAGACTGCGAGTGCGTGTGCTGTTTAGCATTTCATTACCTAGCTGCTCTCCGTTAATAGCAGATCAAGCTGCTGCCTGTTAAGGCTGGCATTTTTACAGCCTTGTTTGGCTCCGACACTATCCAGCACAGGCAGGACCACAAACATCCAGCCATTTCCTCTGTCTGTCAAGCTCCCATAAGCCGTTGGTAGTTAGAGCTCTCAGCCATTTGCTTTACAGCCTTTACGTGGTCTGGGAAGTTTGACGGATTCTCAAACAAAGAGGAAAAATGATTTGGCTGTGATATTTCCTGTGATTATAATCTACATACTAAAGCGATTATTTTTCACATATTTCACACATAAATGCTTCTTATCTCGTGACAGCAGTTGTAAAATGCACATGGTAGTGATTACAGAGGTGCTGGAGCTTCTCAATGCCAATATTAAGGCTCAATTTTTCTATTTATTTATTTTTTTGGAGCTGTGACAATTACAGGGTGGATGGAGAAATCAAATTAGAAAAAACCTCTAAAAGATTATAACAAGCAATGGCAGTTGCTTGTTATAATTCTGCACACCAGAATTACATCTCTCAACCTAGGATATGCAGAATATTGAATCAGATGATGCTTCCAGACATCACACCGGATGTCTGAAAGCAATGTAAAGAAAAGGTTTGCTTCCAAAAGATTCAGTAAAATTGGTCAATGATGGATTGTAACAATGTTGTTTGTTTCAAAAACACTTTATTTCATCAACAACATTACGATGGCGAGCCAGAAATGGTACGTACCACATCAGAGCCGATCCGACTATCCTTGTATCAAGAGTTCAAGTTGGCGGCTTTTAATGGTATAGGGGCCATTTTCTTGGCCCATTTTGATTTTTTTCTATGACCAATCAACCATAATTTAAACACCAAAGGCCACCCTCTTATTGCCACAGTGGTCCCGTCCACTTCCAGCCGGGCAGTGCACCATGTTGCAAAGCTTCAAACATCTCACACTGGTGTCATGAAGTGGACAGTGAGTTCATGTCACGCCGATGGCTTCCAGAGTCACCAGATCCCAATCCAGCAGAACAGCTCTTAGGATGGAGCAGAGATTTGCATCATGAATGCACAGCCGACAAATCTGCACCAACTGTCAGATGCCATCATGTCAGGAGAAAACTAAATCTTCTCTCACTTTGCTGAATCAATGCAGAGAAATGTTCAAGCAGATTTGACAGTTTAAAGCCCAATCCAGAAAGCTGTACCTAAGAAAATGTCTGGTTAGTGTATATGTGTTCTAAAACTTTAACATTAAACGTGTAGCAATGTGCTCCAGCTTTTCTGTAGAGACTTGAGAACAAAACTCCGGTTGTAGCCATTTAGATTCAGAAGTTTTGGCTCAAAAGCAACAAAAAGATCAAGCAAACCAGAAAGACGAGAGGGAAGTTTTGCCGTTTCTCATGTGTTGTTTTCACATGTGAAATAAGGTGAGAGCAGCAGGAAGTCTTCTTTCTTAGCCTCCTCTGGCACAGTACGGCCAGCGATCCGCAACAACAATAACAACAACACCTCCTCCGTGCCTTCACGCCCCCGCTTCCCCCTGATGAGCTGCTCCGCTACGGGACAAAAGCTGCTGCAAGTCAAGCATGAAAAGAGAGGAGAGGGAGGCACAAAGAAATTAAGGCTGCGCTAGAAAGAAAATAACAGGGAGGAGGGGATGACTGCCAGCTGTTGTGTTCGGCTCTGCGCACATGGAGTCTCCCGGAGTAAAGAGCGCTTCAGGTGATATCAGTGGTGATGCATCATTCCTGAACCACTTACCGTGTTTTTATTTCGCCATGTCTTTACATTAAATTTAATTTGGGGCACGGCTTTCTTAAGGTTGCTCTGACAAGCAGGGTGCGTCGAGGAGTGGGCCCAGAGCTCGACGGGAGTTATTAATCTCTCTCTGACTGAAACTTTGCCTTCAGAGCGAAGTAGATTGTTCCTCGAATGCGGCCCGGAAAGTAGGTTAAAAGTCAGCTGCATTGAGTTGGCAACTATTCTGTTTTCCTGACAGAATGTTTTATGAAGCCGCCACAAAGTTCTTGGCATCATAAAAATGTTATTTACCACACCGCTCTGAAAAATAAAAATAAAAAGAAGGAGGAGGTGTGTGAGCCAAAAACGCATCTACTCTGTTATTCAGGTCTGCCCTCTTTTTTTGTTGTTTTTTTTGTTATTATTTATATTGTTTGCCTTCCGCGCATGAAAATGACTCGTGGTGCATGAAAAGGCCGTCAGTCAACGTCAGCTCTCCGGAAAATCCTTCCAAAAGTCGCTTCAACAAGTTTGGTGAAAATCTTGCAAAGCCTTTTAAATCAAACAATTACACCTCCACTCACTGTAACTGTTTATTGGGTTGTTGTTGTTGTTTTTTTTACACTTAGAGCATTTCTGATTACATCATGAGAGGGAGTGGAAAAGCAGCGAGCCCAAATCACCCCCCTGGAGCGATACGTATTGGCTGGGGAGAGGTGTTTTCTTCTGCTGTAATCAAACAGAGTGATGCTCACGCTGGCTGTGACTTCCATCACCAGAGGCTAATGGCTAATCAAACAGGAAGGCTGCCAGCTCTTCATTTCTCTCTCTCTCCCCAATTTTCTCCTCTACATTCATCCAGATAATCGAACAGACTCATTGCTCACATTCTACTTGTGGGATACGTTTTATCATACTGTTGTAATACTGTTGATTTTATGCAATGCCTGGCAAAAGTATGCTTGTGGCTTGATGGGGTTTTTTTCCCCACCATTCTATCTGGGAATTCCTCAGGACAGACAAGTACAAAGTTCAGAGCAAAGGGGGGGAAAAAATCTGAATATTGTGTCATGCATCTGAGATAAATTAGTGCTCAGGTGGGATAACAGGACTGTTAAAGAGATTTACTCCACATATCTGGTTTTTATGAAAGAGTAGCAAGGAAAAAGCAATTGCTAAAAGAAACCAATGAAGGCCTGTTTGCAATTTGCTACACACCCTAACAGAAGCTACTCTGCTCCAAAGAAACCAAAGATACTGATGTGCTGCAGAAAAGGGGAGATGAATTAAGAGGGAAAACACATGAAACTATACGTGCTTGGCAGTGCAAGAAGAAAGCCAGGTACAACTGGAGTGTTTCTCTGTTTCAATACACTGATTTCAGTGCTCAGCTCATTAGGACTCTGGAGAACTTGGCTGCCAAGTGAGGAGATGAGTCAGCCATTTTACTAAGGACTGTGGAATCAGGGACGCATCTAAAAGCTGCAGGATATCGGCTGCCGAGGAATTGAGTTTAAAATCCCTGATTTAAAGGTTGTGGAAAAACACAGAGCCTCAACAACTGGAGCTTGAGATCTTTCTGCAGGTCAATGAACCTTGCAGGATTTGAAAATTGATGTTGACAGACGCTCTTGTTCCAGTCTGACCGAGGTTGAGCTGTTTTTCAACAGAGGACAAAATGTCATTCTGTAAATGTGGAAAGTAAAAACATCCCAAAATAGCCTACATCTGGAAATACAGAAAAAAAAAAAGTTTCATCTCTAGGTGGCGTATTTCTAAACAGAAAAAATGTCTACAAAATGAATACTTCTCTGAACCTCCACAGCAGAAATCGTGACATATCTAAGAAGTTGCTGTCCGGGACGATCACGCTCTGCGACTCTGGAGGCGCAACGTTTGCACGCTCCTTTTGTCTCCCGTCTTTGTGATGTGCCTTGGTTCAAGGGTCGAAGTTCAAAGGCTCTGTGACCCCCACAGCTTTTGAAACGTCGCATCCCATCAGTTCTGTGGAGCGTTTGGAGGAGGATTTGTATGATTAATCAAAAGCCCCCCCACCCAGCGCCCTCTCCTCCCAGTGACTCAAACTCTGAGGCCATTCATGAAGCCCAGAGTCAGGTCAGCATTGCAAACTAGCTTTATCCAGCAACAACTTTAGCTTCATTTGGGTACTTAATTGAATTAGTTTTTATTTATTATTTTTAGGCTGAGCAAAGGCAGTGAGATGGGCAATTAAAGCTTCACCTCACGATCAGCATACATGTGCAAAATGAGTGTTTTGTGTTGTTCATGTGTGAATAGGATGAATCAAAGTGCTAAAGTTTGTGCCACAGCATTTTGAGCAACAAGTTGAGGAATTTGATGGACGACCAGCTGGGTTGACAAAGTGAGAAAAAACAGGAGAAATTAAGTCATGTTACACTTGGAACAGATAAAAGTTCAAACGTTCCCGCTAATTTGAAAACAACTTCTTAGACCGGTCGAGAAGAAAAGTTGGGGAGCGTTGTGCTCCACCCGACCACCTGGATTTGAGGCAAATTGGTTCTTTTACCGTCAGATTGTTTGTGTTTAATGTCTTCCACCTAATGAAGTCTTCCGTGGCAATATATTTTAACGGGCGAGCCTCGCTTCAGGCTACGGGGCTGAGGTGAAACTGGAGACATGCAAACACTGGGGTTACATTCGCAGGGAGGAAACAGCCATCAGCTTCACTTTAAAAAACGCACATGCTAACTATCATTTTACACGACGAGAACCCTTTTTACTTTCTTTAATTGGAAGAGCAAACGAGTCTTTTTTCTTTATCTTCTTGTCTCAGATTCACACATCTGGTAAAGAAAAAAAGAAAAAAAACAAAAAACAGCCAGCGCACCAAGGAAACAATCAATGCAGCAAAGTTTCAGTCAAATTTGCAGTCTGAAGTGCTGACTGCCTGTCGGTCGTCCCCTGACCACCATCTGCATCCTCTTAGAGATGCAAGAGGGCTGGGAAGCATAATGCATGAAGGAAAGAAAGAAACCTCTCCCTCGCAGTCACTCTGCGATATTTAATTCTGCGCTCTATAAACCTGATATTAACAGAAATAGGAAAAAAATGGAAATAGATCCAGGCTGG